ATGTACTGTGCTCACAGAATGAGTTCTTATAATACAGAACTGGGGATAAGTTCTGCTGCTCAGCACTGTTCTCAAGGTCCCAGGTTCTTTCTGTCTTTCTATTCTGATGTCCTCAATATGTTGGTGTGTCTCCTTTAAGGTTGCTAGGAGGCTAACACTGTTCAAAGCATCACCTGATCACCTAATGAAATCTAAACAGTAGAAGAAAGAGGCGTCTCTCTTTGGGCATCTATCTTTTTAATGAGGAGCAAAATCTTTTCCAAAAGCTCCCAGCAGACTTTTGTCGAGTCCTCTTTCACCAGAACTGAATCAGATGTCCATGCTGCAAGAGACAGAGGCTGGAAATACCAGTACCTGGCATTTTTAACCTCTATAATGGTAGACTGACTCTGCTGGTAAAGAATGTAAGCCTTATGAAGACTGAAAGTTTGGTCTTGTTTTGTTTACTTCTGTGTCCCAGCACCTAAGACGATGCCTGGTGCTCAGTAGATATCCATTAGAGGAATGAATTAAGGAATTAACAAGTACATGCTGTGCCATAGAAATGAACCTGCCCAATGAGGACATTATGCTCCTGTCTTCTATCACTGCTCTTGTTGTGGTATCTTGAACCAGGCTATCCTAATTGATTGGCTCTCAGAATGAACTCTCAGATTCCCAAGACTTCCTTACAACCCTCAGTAAGGAGATCTCAGATCTTGGGTAATGAGGACATTCGACAGCACCTTCCACCCAAGCTCTCTACTGTTTAGACCACCCCTTTGATTTTTAATCTAAATGAACAAAGGATAGATCAGGCTTGAGTTTGGTATTTATCCTTTTTATATAACAATTGTAATTTCAGGGACACAGAGCACACAATTGCCAGTCATTAGGATAAGAGCAGGCTCAGACTACTGTTAGATATGCTGTCCTGTGTGTGTTACCCTGTGTGGATTTGGTTTGTAGGTTAGGAATGATGGAATGTGGGCAATCAAACAGGTGTTCCGAATTTCCCCAGTTAGGTTCACTTCTCAAAGCACCTGGCAGCTGGGTGGATGACACATCCATTTCTCATTTGAAGTTGGTGAGTGAACTTAAGGCCCACTCAGCTGGACTGAACAGCTGTATCCCAACCATCACCCTGTTCCTGGTTTCCTCGGCCCAGATCTGGGTTGAGGCTGCTACTCACTAAAGCTGTTGTGTGGGAGGCTGAACTGAAACTTACAATTCCAAGCTCACTGCTTGTGATGAAAGTCAGAAATGCTGAGATTGGGCAGATGACTGTGTAGCAGGAGATTAACGAAAAGGGTCTTTGCAATATTAATAACATTCATATATTATGTCATATACAGGGCATTTTTAAAAGTTATGGTATTTGGGTTTGTTTCATCCACCAACACAGTCCTGGGACTGTCATTTTATCTCACTAGGTTCCTTATGGGCTCCTAAATGTGACAGGTGAAAATAGCTTCTTGTTGAAAGATGACTTCACAAGTTGGATTTCCAGTATGTCCCACATATTTCCAGTGAACAAGTTCCATTAAATCATGCATCTAGTATTCTTCTCCTATACTTCACTCCCTGGATACACTCCAATGCTATGGCCATGTTTTTTTCCTCTCATACATTTGCAGACCTTATAGTAACCAGCATTACTTTACAGGCTTTGAGGGTTTGAGCTAAGAAGAATAATGGCTTTCTAAATACTTCTTGTTGGTCCTAGCTCAGTGACTTGTATAGAATAGACAGTAATACTATTCATCGAATTAATTGGTTGGGAAATGCTCTTGGATAGGTTCCCACTCTAAGCATTAATATATATAAGCACTTAGGTACCTTTTATTCTAACAGGTTCCCTTTTTCCCCCTCTTGGCTTATGTGGTAGTAGAGTTCTTTATTTAGCTTTGTCACCTTTCTGGTCGATGATCCTTGTATTTCAATCACAGTAGACCTAAATATATTCCTAGTTGCTTAGCCTTGGACACATGATGTAATTGTTTTGTGTCTTGATTTCCTTATTGATAAAATGAGAGTGATAAAAGTACCTACCTCATAAGACTGTCATGGGCCAGTGACTTAATACATGTAAACACTTAGCACAACCAACATTTATTTCAGAACTGGAGTTGGTCAACCTCAACTGCTGGTTGGCTATGGATACAAAAGTTTGGCGAAATCAATGAAAGCATTCTGTGAGCACTAATGAGGTCTATAGAATTTATGATAAAGCATGTTGCATCTATTCTTATTATATGAAAATTGTGTGCTACACGTCCTTTATGTAGGTAAAATGTATAAAAAGCTTGTGTATGGATACATGTGCGCACAGCATTTTTGTTATTTTAAACATTTACCACCAGGTAACACTGTCCCTACTTTTGTTCTTCAAGCTTATGGATGTTTCTCTCCCATATGGATAATGTCTGGATGTAGCCTGTAGCAGATGTTGTTGGTACCCTACCCAGATCTCCTTTACTGGGCCAGTGCATCCATCTCCCAGCTGCTGCGGGTATTGGCTGCTAATGACTCACACCTGTACCCTTCTCCAGAGGCCTGCCCTTGGCTGACAGTAATTGCCTCAACCAAGTATGTTGGGGAGATTATGAGATCATGCCCCAGCCCCCTCTCCTGTTCCCCAGGGGTGGCTCAGAGCCAATGACTGTTCAGGGGTGTAACAGCCCAGCCCCCTTGCCTTTTGGATGGGGCAAATTCCGTGGTTCAGTCCACATTCTAGAACTGCTCATTGGATCAGACTGAGGCTAGATTTCTGAAACCATACCTTTGTGTAGCTCCTTCCCCCATTCTGGCTTGCTTCTTTCACTCTTGTTTCTCCTGAAGCACTCTGTCTATACTCAGGTGTTTAAGAAATGCCATCTCAGGCTCTGCATGTAGGGTACCTGACCTAAGATGTTGCTAATTTCAGTGCCCCTATTGTTTTCTTAGTTCCACCATCACTTATGCAACTAATTCCCTATATTAAATAATCTCTGGCTTAAATTTCCTCTCTTTGTTTTCTTCTCTTGGTTGGACCCTGCCTGATAGGCATTAACCCCGCTCATATCCCCTGTCTTTACATATTTTTGGTTGCTCAACATCAAATGCCCTTGTTCTTATTATATCCCTGGTTATTTCTCACAGTATTTTGATGGATACCCCAGATTTTAGCATCTCAAAATAAGTTTCAAAGCCTGAGTCAATTACACCCTCCTCTTAGGACTGTTGTAAGAATTGTATGAGCTATTTTTTTTTTGAAAATACTTAGCTCTGTGCCTGGAATGTAGAAGTTCTTAATAAATGGTAGTTGTTTGGTTTATATTACTCTTGTAAGAGACTTGCCCAGTCTGGATAAGATGACTCATCCCTTGTTCCCAGAGAACCCTAATAAGTTCCTTTATCACAGTGCTTTATTACTCTTTATTATAATCTTTGTTTTTTATTCTATTTCTCCCAGAAAAACATGAGCTTCTCAGTGTCATCTAGTGGTATATTGGCTCTCCAGGGGAAGAAAAGACCTGACAGATAGCTTTTGCTGATTTTTCTTGGTGAAAAATACTCCTACCCTGTCCATTTTCAAGCTACCAAAGTGATGTCACTGGACAGTGCTGGGAAGAGACACACAACTGGCACACCAACTCCAGTCTCTACTCTGAATCCCTAACACTCAGCACGGTATATCTACCACAGGAGCTAGATGTTCAAGAGATGCCTAAAATATAGTTATTGAGTGGTCAGAACTTGATTATATGCCCTAAATTGGTGAAATTCCTTGATATCTAATTTTTGTTATGTAACCAATAACTTGTATTGGTTATATAAGTCCCCCTCCCCCACAATACACACATATGCACAAAAATTGCCCATGCTATTCATGAATCAGAGAAAAGGAAGTATTCATCATGATGTGATGGGAAATACCCATGCCCTCCCTGGGCAAGCTGCCTACTAACTCAGACACAGATCTCAAGTTTGTGATTTGCTATACACATGAATGGAGCTTAGTCACTTCACCTCTCTTGGCCCCAGTTTCCTCAGAGTTGGAAGCCTAATTAGTGTATAATTTCATTTCCTCCTTCCCTCATTTTCCTCATTCCTGTATCAAACTTTGAGTTGTACATTATGCTAGATATTGGAAATATGACAAGGAATAAGACTTGGCCCTGGCTGAAGAGCATCTCAATATCTTTTTCTATGAACATCCCATCAGACTGAGGCCATGAGTGTGCTCATTGCCAAATGGTGTTATGCAGATGTACCAAAGGCCAAGATTTCACATCATTACAAACTTTAGCACTTTGACACATAAAGGTATTGTGCTAATAGTTTTAACTTTCTGGATAAATTAAAAAAGGCTGTCCTGATCAGTGTAAGCAGTCCTCAGAAAATGTCAACCAGATAATGTTAATGGTATGGAGAGAACCCTTGGTGAACAGCTTGGTTATTCTGCTCTCTGAGTTAGGCTCAAACTCAGTGTGTAGAGAGGGTAGTTTTTTCAGGACTATTAAGCAAAATCTGAAAACATTCTTTTGTGTTTAAGTCTAAGAAGTACTTATCCTGATTCTTTCTTCCATATTTTGATAAGAAAGGCATGAAGAATGACTCTTAAACTTTAGTGTTCTCCTTCAAGGCCATATCCACCCATTGACTCTAATGCCTTTGTTCTCATCATCTGTGATCTCTGCACTTAATTTTTTTGTTGTTGTTTTGTTTTGTTTTTTGCGGTACGCGGGCCTCTCACTGTTGTGGCCTCTCCCGTGGTGGAGCACAGGCTCCGGACGCGCAGGCTCAGCGGCCATGGCTCACGGGCCCAGCCGCTCCGCGGCATGTGGGATCTTCCCGGACCGGGGCACAAACCCGTGTCGCCTGCATCAGCAGGCGGACTCTCAACCACTGCGCCACCAGGGAAGCCCCGCACTTAATTTTTAAAGCCGCATTGGTTTCCAATAGGAAATTACTGTTGGGAACTTTTTTCAGTTGCTGAAAGCTGTTTTTAAAAAGAGAATTTGTTTTGTTTTTGACAGGGGCTGATAATATCCGGAAATACTGGAGCCGCTACTACCAAGGATCGCAAGGGGTAATATTTGTATTAGACAGTGCCTCTTCAGAAGATGATTTAGAGACTGCTAGAAATGAACTGCACTCAGCTCTTCAGCACCCACAGTTATGCACTTTACCGTTTTTAATATTGGCCAATCATCAAGACAAGCCAGCCGCTCGATCAGTACAAGAGGTATGTCTCATTAAGGCAACAGCTCTTTGTCTGTCTTGTTTGTTGACTTTTGCTGCCATGTTGGAGTCTGAAAAGATTCCTGTAGTTGGAGATATGCTGGTTATACTGTTTTGCAACATGAGACCTAAGTTTTTTAGAAAACAGAAAGCCTATATCAACCTGATAAAAATTATTATTCACACCCATAACCCCACTTGGAGACCATAGATTTTTTTTTTTTAACTGTTTAGCGAAAGTTAAAGGATTTATAGGAATAGATTTCTCATCTATTTTAAAGGGCTAAAGGCCTGGTCATTTAACTTTTTTTTTTTTTTTACCTCGACAGCTTACTTAGTTCATTCTTCTTTTCAAGGAATGCGTCGTGCGTATTACCATGCATCACTTGCCCTCAAATGTCGTGTTCTTGTCCCTCTGAAATGCTCACTGTGGACGAGAAGCAATGGGTCCTATTCTGTAATCAGCCAGGCTGAAAAGTGGTGTCTTATCTTGCAAGTTCCATGCCAGCAAATACCTTTTAGTAAGGACCCATTCTTTATCTTCCATATTTAATTTCATTTCTTAGCTTGTATCTTTCCTATAAAAGCATGAGACTAATTCTGGGCAGATAATCAGTGTCTCAGCAGAGTTTCTGATTCATGGTACTAAAGTAATAAGATATGTGAATAGCTTTCAAAACTTAAATTATAGTGAATTTTAACCTTAAGAATAGTGAAATCAAAACTTTTGATGTATTCCTTTACACCTGTAACTTTCAGGATATGTTCCATTACTTCCCCCATGCCCCCCCCTTCAAAAATTGTGTGCTTCTTTTTTTTTTTTTTTTACATCTTTATTGGAGTATAATTGCTTTACAATGGTGTGTTAGTTTCTGCTTTATAACAAAGTGAATCAGTTATACATATGTTCCCATATCTCTTCCCTCTTGCGTCTCCCTCCCTCCCACCCTCCCTATCCCACCCCTCTAGGTGGTCACAGAGCACCGAGCTGATCTCCCTGTGCTATGCGGCTGCTTCCCATTAGCTATCTACCTTACGTTTGGTAGTGACAAAGCTGTGACAAAGCGAGAGAGAGGCATGGACATATATACACTACCAAACGTAAGGTAGATAGCTTGTGTGCTTCTTTTAGTGACTTCGGAATAATAGAAACCACATTGCCCTTTAGTCTGAAAATGGATGAGGAGCCCAGGACATAACATGTTCTAACTCCAGACTCTCTCCCACTTTGTGTGGGACCCATGGGCAAATATCTTTGTCCCTGTGCCTGTCTCCTCACCTGTAAAATGGGAATAATGTGATTTTTTTAAATGAGAAGTGAGTGGGATTAATTTGAAGTGTAGGAGGTACTGTATCTAGAGAATTGTCATTTATTTTAGAAAAGTAGTAAAGAAGGCAAGGATTTCTTATTAAATAGAGCTTTAGAGCTTATGTGTATATTTAGTTGCCTCACTCAGAATTAAGTAGTTAGCACCTTTTTCCTTTTTAGATTTTGTGAAATACTTTATGGATAACATTAAATGATTAAGATAAAAAGAGTAATACAAATCTATTTAGACAGTCATCAATGTGCAGATCTTCAGCATTGTAATTGGTGCCTTCCTGATCTGTTCTTAAGACCTCAGGTACATCTTTTAACTTCTTAGCACCAGTTTTTCTGTCTGTAAAGTGGATATAATAGTGTATAATGATGGGTAGTTATGAATGTTAGATTAGTTTATGTTTATAAGGTGCTTTGCTGAAAATGCATTAGTATCCTGAGATTCATTGTGGAAAATATAATTTTTTTTTTTTTGCTTTTTAATTTAAGAAACTGTTTATATGTTTCCATAGACATCCTAAAAAGAAACTAATGTGTTCTTTAAACCTAATATATGACCCATGGTAATCCTCCATAGGGATTAAAGACTGCTACGTTGAATAAAGGAAGCTTTTAACAATTGATTGCTTTGGAGTATGCCATGTGGGTGTTGGCTGGCTGTGTCTCCTAGGAAAAGGGCAACTAACTATCTTTTTGTGATTCATCTTTTAGTAAGAAGAAGTTGTGAATGTAGAGTAATCATAGATATACTTTGAAAATTATTCTAAACTTGTATGTACTGGAACATATGTGACTTTGACTTTTCCTTTTTACTCATATCCATTTTAAATGAACTTTCCTCAAAATTTTGACTTGTGATGGAATTTGCAAATACCATTTTGAGGACTGCTCTATGTAAAGCATTTTCCCTATGATTATATAAACACGTACTAGGCCAGGTGCATGTTAACATTTTAGACTGCCCTAATTGAATCCATGAACAAATTCCATTGTAGATCTTGAACTTATCGAAACATAATGAAGTACTTAAACTCACTTTGGATTTGGGAGAGAAAGAAATGGAAGCTTCCTATTTTCCCCATTCCTTGAACAGCAGAGGTTTCTCAGTGTAGTTATTATGATGCTTTGCTGCAGTACTCCTAGGAATGTTTATACCTTATTGTTAGCCTAAAAATGGAATCTTAAACTTTTTTATAAATAGTAACCTCAGAATGGTTGGGAGTAGGCACGAGTAGAAGAGGAGATAGAAGATTGAGAAGTGAGCAAAGTTACGTGTTACTTGAAATATGTTGAGAAGTCGTCATCTGTTTATTACTTTCTTTCCTGATCCTAAAGGTATTACGTGCTGTGCGCTGCTCTGTTGCTTATAAACATTTTTATTCATTTGTACCTGCTCATTTGTGTGCACTTTGTGGAATTTCCAAATACTAAAAAGATGGTGTTTTACCCTGCAGAATACCTGTGAATTGTAGGTAAAATTCTGTTCTTTCAGAATCAGGGAAAATGCATTCAGTTTACCAAGAAGCACAGAACAATTCTTTGATGCAGTTAAGAAAAGACGAGGCATAGAGGCTTGTTGATTCTTCCCCTCCTCCCATTGAAATTATTACATTTTGTGCTTAATGCATTATGCAGAAATTTTGCAATTATTTATCCTGTCACTGGAGTAAAACTTTAAGAATTCATTTATCATTTAATGAGGATATCAGGTTACCACTGAGCTTAGAAGCTGGTAGGAGCCGGTGAAATCCAAAGGAGAAAGCTGAATTATCACTTGGATTCCAACAGAGGATGAAAATCATCAGGAAGTTATGTATTTAGTTCCCTCCTCTATGATGTGAGTTTTGCTAGGTTTGTGTTGAGAAGTAAGTTAAGATAGGAACAATGGTTAAAATTACTATGTAACCCACTGACAGAGGGCAACATGCCCAATTATTTTGTTGCCCTTTTAGAAAACAAGTGGAGTCTTGTGCATTGCATAGTTTCCCTTTCTGTGATATACCTACCTGGCAATGACCTATGTTTAACTTACCAGAATTTTAAGATTTTATGCCTTGAGACTCAATAGTAGAAACATGTTTTTTAACAAATAATAAGCTTTTTTTTTTGTAATAACAAAACACTGGGAAAAAGGACACCCTTTACATACTGTCTGAAAGCCAAGCAGTCCTTGCAACAGATGTTTGTTGTATTCACTTTAGGGAGGTGTAGTTACCACAGTTTTCCAGAATTTACTCATATCAACTATTTTCCTCTGTAGAAAACATAATATGAAAATCTATAATTATGTCAAGTGACCCACTTGATCCATTAGGGAAAATTCTGGTCTAATATAAATGATAAAGCTTTCTAAAACAAGAATCATCTTAAGGGTAAATAGGTTGGTTTTTTATTTGTATTGAATTGTAATTGTATCTAATTTGTTTTACAGCTCCCATAGGAGAGCATACTTCAGTTCTGAAGTTATTTAATAGATCAGGAGGATTTTATGAGCAGTTAAGTTGATAGAGTAGCCAATAAAAGTAATCCTGTTTTCCCTCGACACAGTTGCTGATGGTGATTCTTTTACCTCCTAGCTTTTTCAAATCTTATTCTCATTTTATTGGGCATTACCATGTCTTATAAAATAACACATTTTGTCAACATGAAAGAAATAGTTTATCCTTTCAGCAGTCTAATCTGATTTGATATTCATTCATCTCCTTAATCCAAAAGTATTTAACTTTTTCAGAAATAATACATCAAAAATACTGAGTTAACTTGAATATTTTATATTAAAGCCAATATTAAGAAATATGAAAGCTAACACAACATTGTAAATCAACTGTACTTCAATTTAAAAAATGTAAAAAAGGATGAAAACTGTGAAACAGAATTTTGAAGTAGAATTATAAGGTCAGATGACACTATTTGGTTCCATGGCTCATTAATTGTAGCATAGGAAAATCCAGCTTGTAAATTAGGATGTCAGCATTAAAGTTGAGATTTGTAGTCAGGCATTTCTCAGTTTTTGCTCAATTGTAATTTAGTTCGTTATTGTGATGTACATAGAATGTGGTGTTCTATTTGAGAAGAATAGAAGAGTATTTGTATTTCTGTCATGATATAAACATTACTTTTTTAGACCATGTTTTGTTTTGATTATCAATATTCATGTTTTTGAATAGTACTTTCAGTATTCACCATGTCATGAATAGTTTATCTAGTTCTCACTTCTTAGTCTAGACATTTTCTGGAAGAGAGTGCTAATATATGTTTTATGTTGTTTAACTAGTACATTTAAATATAATTACTTCTTGTTTATAGATAATTATTTCTACGTCGTGTACTTTTCCCCTTTCCTACAAAGGGCCAGAGAGAGTTTTGCAAGATTGAAATTTTTGGACACTGTTTGTCTGTAAATAATCCACTAGTTTAAAATTTCTATATTTACTCTGCTTGACAGGAGACCTGTTCTTTTCTGGTAGTTCTATGAAGTAATGAATATCATCTCTGATTTTACATGACAAATCTTTTATTAGAAGTGCAAAGCAGTGTTTAAATCACATAAAATCTCAGCGTAATTTAATATTACTTTCTGTATATGGAGAGAAATGAGTGTGTTTGTGTGCGTGTGTGGTATAGTCATTGTAAAGTGTTGTATACTTTAAATCTTAAGAGTCTTCCAAATATCTTGACCTGCTTCTTGGCAGCATTTTAGAATACTGATTCGATTTCAGTATTGAAATAGGTATGAACAGTGTACATACCCATTGTGTGAGCAGTTTGAAAACTCCCTTATAGGATGTACACTTATCCTAAAGTGATATAAGAGATACAACTTACTTTTTGTCCATTCCTTACAGATGTACTCCATGCTGTTACAGTTTGATCTTGGGGAAACAATGAGAGCGTTTGGAAGTTAGTTTTCCATTGAATGACTCAGTGATCTCTTGAAACTGTTTACTCACTTGCAAGAGAAGCTAAAATTGCAGTCATTTCAATAGTTAATTACAAAAGTGTCATTATTATAGAGCAACTTTTAGAGACTACTTGAAACAGCCAGAATATTTTATTTATTGTACTTTAAAAAAAATAATAAATTTATTTATTTATTTACTTACTTACTTATTTGTTTGTTTGTTTATTTATTTATGGCTGCGTTGGGTCTTCGTTGCTACGTGCTGGCTTTCTCTAGTTGAGGTGAGCAGGGGCTACTCTTCGTTGTGGTGTGTGGGCTTCTCATTGCAGTGGCATCTCTTGTTGCAGAGCACGGGCTCTAGGTGCGTGGGCTTCAGTAGTTGTGGCACGCGAGCTCAGTAGTTGTGGCTCGTGGGCCCTAGAGTGCGGGCTCGGTAGTTGTGGTACACGGGCTTAGTTGCTCTGCGGCATGTGCGACCAGGGCTCGAACCCATGTCTCCTGCATTGGCAGGCAGATTCTTAACCACTGTGCCACCAGGAAGTCCCTTTATTGTATTTTGATGTGTTTTTTCTTTTTATAT